CAGTTCTGCTATTGAGAAGTATTAAGCAAGTCAGATCCCTGACCCTTTGACAAGAGACCTATTTTTCCCCTCTCTAGAAGTTTACAGGGTCTTCTCTTTGTCCCCAACATTCTGAATTTTCATGATGACACCCATTTGTATGGATCCATTTTTGCCCTGGAAAGGGCCTTCTGAGTATCTTCCACATGCAGAAAATGAGCACCTTTCATTCTGGGAGATGTTCTTGTAACGTCTCGTTTGTGGTGTCCTGTTTTCTCCTCCTGGCACTCCTATTATTCAGATATCTGACCCCTGGATTGTTCCTCTAACTTTCTTACCTTTTTTCTCCTTTCTTCCATATCATTGTCTTTTTGCTCTATTCTCAGATACTTTCTCAATTTTATCTCATAAACCTTCTATTTAGATTTAACTCTTGATATTTTTAACTTGCCACAGCTCATTTTTTTTCCTCTTTGAATTTTTTAAAGGTATCTTGTTCTTGTTTTGCTTTTGTAAAGTCCTTTCTGGGGCTGGCCCGTGGCTCACTTGGGAGAGGGTGGTGCTGATAACACCAAGGCCACGGGTTTAGATCCCTATATAGGGATGGCCAGTTGGCTCACTTGGGAGAGCGTGGTGCTGACAACACCAAGGCCACGGGTTTAGATCCCTATATAGGGATGCCCAGTTGGCTCACTTGGGAGAGGGGGGTGCTGATAACACCAAGGCCACGGGTTTAGATCCCTATATAGGGATGGCCAGTTGGCTCACTTGGGAGAGCGTGGTCCTGACAACACCAAGTCAAGAGTTAAGATCCCCTTACCAGTCATTTTTTAAAAAAGAAAAGAAAAGTCCTTTCTTATCTGAGGATATTCATGATACTATTTTTTGGAGGTTTTCCTTGCTCTACTGGTCTGTTCCCTTCACGCTGCATTTTTCTATTTGTTTACTTTCCTCTATATTCTACACATTAGAGAACTTTTCTTTCTTTCAGATGTCTAGTAATCCTATTCACAATTAGGGTGGTGCTGCAAGGTACACAGAAATCTCTGAGCAGGAGAATAAAGCTTGTCAGCTCTAAGTTTCACCAAGGAGTGATTTGCTGAGTGGTTTAGCTGGGGAACCTCCAATGTTGATGCCTTCCTTCTGTTCATCAGATTATTCCAGAAAGAGTCTTCCCATGTCTAGCCTGGAGGTCACATCTGCTGCCAGCATTCTGGAGGGAACATGGAGAGTTCTAGGGGGGAGCAGAGAGTGTTCTGGGAGGAACATGGAGTGTTCTGGGGGAACATGGAGAAGGCCTCCAGTGTGGGGGCACATCAGCATCCCTCTGCATCCACTTGCATCCATCTGTCTCCTTCCTCTGTGCTCAGTCCAATCTCTTGTCCTGACTTGGGCCTGTCTGGGGAACTCTTCATACCCTCTTCAGAGGAGCAGCTCACAAACATGCGTGAGCACCTGAGTGGCCTGCAGGGCTTGTTAGCACAGGTCCCAGGGCCCAACCCCAGGATTTCTGAGTCAGTAAGTCTAAGATGGAGCTGAGAATCTACATTCCTAAAAAGGGAGACTGCTGTCAGCTTGGGGACCACACTTCAAGAATCACTGCTCCAAGAGAACACAACACTGGTTTTTTGTTTTTTGATTTTTATCTTTCCTGGGGGAGAGGCAATTGCCCATTGCATACGGTTGACTGAAAGAGCTGGGGATCTGTCTCTTAATTAAACTCTCCACCAAGCACCCTTAATCCTCCTTATTTTAGCCAGTTATGCCCTTCCCCCGATGTCACTTGCTGCCAGTTTCTGGCCTTTGGGGAGTTTTGTGGCATAAATCAGACTGGTTCTTGGCTCTACCCACTGCTAGCTTAAGAATTCCGCTTTCCTGTGTCTGCTCAGTCATTTAACCACTCCTTTACCTACTTTCCACATTCCAAAAGTTTGCTGTTGTATTTTCGCTCTCTGTGGGTTTAAACCTTTTAAACAACAAAACAAAAACCACCTCTTACTGTGATTTGGGGGCCTCAGGGAGGGAGGCGCAGCAGATGCGCAGGTCCAGCCACATCCTGCCCTTGCTCCCACACCTGCTTCCTTCCCATCCCCTCCACCCAGGCTTTGTCACAGCGCTGCCCCTGTCTGGCCTGGGCCTCTGCTCTCTCTCACCTTCCCCGTCTTCCAGGCAAGCCTGGACCTGACATGTTCTCCAAGGTTGGCCTGGGAAAGCTTCTCTGTAGAACTTCCCCAGTGTAACAAAGAAGCACCTCTTCTGAGCCCCTTCTGCTCTGAGCCCTGTCACAGTCTGACGTGGAGTACCTGTGTGCTCAGGCCTGAGCACAGAACCCACTAACAGGAAGAGCACCACAAATGCTACTAGATAAATGAATCAACAAATACATGAGCAAATAATTGAGGGACAGATCTATTACATCAGATATAGTAAGGGACCCCTTCCAGGAATCCTTTTACAAAGTAAAGATCCACCTAACCATGCTCCAAGTTTGCATTTTCAGCTCTTAAATCAGCCAAGAACAATATAGCAGGAGGCAAGAGACCCAGTCCTGGCTAAAAGGAGGATAAGGATTCAGACTTTTGCAACCATAGTGAAGACCAGGAAGAAGCTTCTCGTGGAGGTAGAAGAGCCAGAAAGAAGACCAGAACTGACACCAGCTTGCCCAATGATCTTGCAAGAGAGCCCCCCTGCCCTTCTCTTGGCTTTTATTTCCCACCTGGGCTACCGTGGGAGAGGGCAGAACACCAGGCTAGCCAGTCACAAAGTCCACTCCCAGGCCAGCAGGATTTGCTCTTGAGCCTGGACCTGCCCTGGGCATTCCCAGGCCAGCACACAGATGGCCAATCTGCTCAGCCAGGCTTGACAGAGGAACTCGACTTGCTGCCTCAGGAATGGACGATCTGGGAGGGCCTGTCTGTACAAACCTGCCAGCATTCCAGGCTCCCAGCTCCAGCTGGCTGCTGCCCAGTGGCCTCAAGCAACTGATGCTGATGAGAACTGAAAAGTGAGAGGTGGAGGGAATTGAGAAGTATACAGACCACCTGTGAGGAGAACGCAGCAGCCTCTCAGAGACTAGGGTGTTGGGGTTCTCACGCTGTGCCAGTAATTTTCTCTGCTCCACCTCAGGAAAGAGGGAATGTTCTAGAAATTCAGAGTACTTTCTCCCAGGCTTGGTTCTGTCACATTTCTGATCTACAGAAAATGGGGTGTGCTTTAATAAGGATCAATGTAAGTTCCTACAGAGAGGGCCAAATAATTAATTATGAAAACCTAAGATGGTAGTGACCGGGGGAGGTGTGCACTACATGCACACACCCTGCAGTCACTGTCCATAAGCCAAGTGCGAGATCATGAGAGAGCATCCACACAAGCAGATGTTTTCCTATAAAATGCTGAGGTGCAGAGTCCCACTAAATCCTGTATTGCCTGGGTCACAGCTGAACCTCACAATGGTGCATGAACCTGCAGTCTCACAAAGGATACTGACAAACTAAGGACCAGCTGGAGAGGGACACTGAGGCTGGAGACCATCACATGCTAACAATGGTCACAGGAACTAGAGAACAAGACTGGGGACAATAAAAATGCCAACGATGAACAATTACTGAGTGCCTACTACAGATCAGGTCCTGTGCTAGGGGTCTTGAGGTGTTACCTCCTGTAGTACTATCATTGCCTCAATTGACAGCTGAGACGCTGCAGCTCTGCAAGAGTCAGGACACAGGTAAGGGCGGGGTGGCCCTTCCAACTCAGGTCTGGCTGAGCCCAGAGCCCTCATTCTCATAACCACACAGACACCGAGGCCTTCTGTGTGCCAGGCTCTGTGCTGTGGGCCTCCTCCCTATCTTGTCTAAAGGGGCTGCTGAACATGGTCCTCAGGTGCTCTGAGACACTGTCTCCAGGTATTCTTTATAAGGAAGTAGAAGGGAGCTGAGGACTCCATCTAAGATGTGGCATGGAGAACAATCTGCATGGACACATCAGAACGGGCCCCGCACTGCAGGCAGGGAGGCAAGGTGACTGCCACATACCCTTTCCAACTCAAAGACACTCATGAGAAACCCCATGCTGCCTTCACAGGAAAAGATGACAAACACATGAAAAGGAAATAGGAAAGAGCTTCACAGGATGAAAAGCAACTCAGAAACTAATTCAAGATGCAAATGTCAAGAAAACTGCATCCCATAGCCCCTCACCCCAGTACGGATGATCCTGCAAATATCTCCAAGGATGAGGCTACAAGAGTGGACCACATGCAAGAGCTGAGGGAAACTGGGCTGTGCCCCAGGCTTCTGTGGAAGGACTGACTGGGAGCCCTCCTCTCAGGCCACCGGAGGCCCAGATCTGTATTTCTCTGCAGCTAGAGTGGACAAGGCTAGGGCATGAGTTGGCAACTGTAATGCTCTCCCACACTAGGAGTGAACAGACTCCAGCTGTCACTTTACTACATTGGAGGTGACAAGCCACTTGTTCTAAAGGTTGTTACCCTGATTTACAGACCTGGAGAGTATGGGCAAGAAGCGCTGACTTCTTGGTATGACCTTGCTCCTCCCTCAGACATTGCAGGCCTTTGCTGCAGAGGGCTCCCCAGGCTCTGTGAAATGTACTTAGACCAGTGAAAGATGGCCCGTATATTCATGGGGTATTGGATTTACTCATGATTAATGGGGCACATATAAACTGATAAATGATATTAATTTGTTTTAGGGGGTCTGAGAAGATTTCAGCCACCTGTTTCTCACTGCTGTCTGAGTTATTTCCTGCTGCCTGCAGACTCAGATGACTAAACCTGTTTGCACAGCCCTGTGGGGAGATGGTGCATCTCTGTGGGCTGAGGCCAGGATGCTCCATCTCAGCAATCTGTATGCCTGACTACCCACAGGGGAGGACAGAGCCTCTCAGGTATTGTGACTATGCTGGTTCCATGTGAAGGAGAGACAGGCCGATGCCCAAGTCCACCCCAGCAGGCTGCATGGGTTGACCTGCCCCCTGGATGCTAGAGGACCAGGGAGGGGGCCTACCTGCCACCTCCTTGGATGACGGCAGACACGCAGCAGCCTCCAGGTTAGCCGGGATGGGGCCTCCTCTCTCCAGGGCACGCACAAGCTCCCGCAGCTGCTCACACTCCTCCTGCAGCCGGTCGCGGTCCTCACGCAGGCGCTGCTTGGCCACACTGGTGGGGTTCAGGCTCATGTGCAGCACTTTGGTTCTGCCCTGGTCATAGTCGCCCTGCAGGAGCATACACAGCACAGGATCACCACAGTCTGGGACCAAACCTGCAAGGCTTCCATCATCGAGACAAAAGAAATGAGATGCTCACAAACTAATGATACATCTGACACCTGAGCATGGGGAGTCAGAATCACAAAAGTCTCGGTAGCGGACACATGAACTGATTAAGCGTGGTCCAGAGAGGTGCACAGTCTGGTCCCAGCTCAGCCCCTCCTGCACTGCGTGGGTGGTGTTATAGGCAAGTCCCTCTGCCTCTCCAGGTTCTGTTCACTTACCAATATAGGGGATCACACCGTTACTTACCTCGAAGAGTTATTGTGAGAAATAAATGAAGAGAAAACAAACCCAACTAGCACACCCATTGGGACATTGTGAGTATGTGATACACATGAATCCCCTTCTCTTGTTCTTCTTAAATACCAATGTTAAAAACAAATTGTGTCTGTTCCCTGTACCGACCAGCCACCCAAACAAACAAAAAAAATTGTGATGCACATCTTTTTAAAGTGTGCCACATTTTTTCCATACTCTGTTGGCAAATATCCGAATGACTGGGCTCTTACCACCCTGCCCTGTGGCCCTGAGAGGCCTCACATCCAACCCTCTGTATTAAAGGTCTGTAAGACGAGGGCCCACAGATTTAAAAAAGTAAAAACAAAACAAAACAAAAGACTTTATTATTTAGAACAGTTTTAGATATACAGAAAAATTGTGAAGACAGTGAAGAGAGTTCTTATAGACCTCACATCCAATTTCCCTACTGTTAACATCTTACATCAGTGTGGTACATTTGTCACAATCAGTGAACCAATGTTGACACACTATTATTAATCGAAGTCCATATTTTCTTCACATTTTCTTAGCTTTTACCTAGTGGCCTTTCTTGTCCCAAGACCCCATCCCGGATCCCATGTGACATTCAGTTGTCGCATCTCCTCGGGCTCCTCTTGGCTGTGAGTTTCTTAGACTTTGTTCATTTTTGATGACCTTGACAGTTTTCAGGAGGACTGGTCAGGGTTTTACAGAATGTGCCTCTATTGGGACCTACCTGATGTTTTCTCGTGATTGAGCTGGGGTGTGGGTTTGGGGAAAAGTACGGAGGTAAAGAGCCGTTCTCATCATGGCATATCAGGGGTCCACACTATCAACACGACCTGTCACTGGTGATGCTGACCTTGGGCACCTGGCTGAGGTTGCGTTTGCCAGGTTTTTCCACTGTAAAGTTATTCTTTTTCCTCTCTTTTCATACTGTACTCTTTGGAAGGAAGTCACTCTGTGCCATCCATACATGAGGGGTGGGGTTATGCTCCACCTTCTTGAGGGCAGGGTATCTACATTTATTATTTGGAATTCTTCTGTACTGGAAACCTGTCTCTTTTCCTCCCGTTATTTATTCAACCATTTATTTGTATCAGTATTAACTTATGCATATTTATTTTATAGTTTGGCTTATAATCCAATACTACTTTATTTGTTACATAAATTGTTCCAGCCTTGGCCACGGGGAGCTCTTTCAGTTGGCTCCTGTGTCCCTCTGACATGCGCCCCAATCAATGTGGTCTGGTGCGTGTTTGTTCTCAGCACTTCCTTACTTTCTGGCACTAGAAGATGCTCTAGGCTCATCCTGGGTATCTCTTGTTCCACCCTAGAATCAGCCATTTCTCCAAGGAGCACTGGAGAATGATACAATACTTAGAATCCAACATCTGGGTGCTGAGTGCAATCCGACACATGATGGACAGGGACCTGTGAATATGCATACACCTGTGAACATTTCTACACATGGCCACCTGTGTCTGTATTAAGCTAAGCATGAGTTCATGGTGATATCTCCAACTCTGATCCATTACCATACAGATCATTCTAGCCCCTTCCCCTTGCTCAACTATAAACTTCCCCTCCCCCTGCCCCCCTGCCACACACACAACTTCGGCAGTGAGAAACCTGGCTCCCAACATCCACCACTCATTTTTTAATTGTTCAATTCCAGCGTAAATGTATAGCAGTATCAGAACTGTTAACCCTACCTCCATGGGAACACGTTATCAACTAGAGCATGGTGCTTACACACAGCTCCTCTCCTTTTAGTTTTTCAGACTCCACTCATTTCCAAAGTTTCTTAGATTATTACCCGTCCCCTTACCTCCCATCACTGAGATTGCTTCACACAATCTCAGTTAGACTGTTTCGTCACATTCTGATTTCCATTGGGGATTCCCCCAACCCCCTAATGATTTTTTAAAATCTGTGTACATTAAGGTTCACGTTTTGTGCTGTGAAGTTCAATGAGTTTTGACACATTAGCATCCACTATTACTGTGTCATGCAGAAGATTCACAGCCCTGAGAGGGCCCCTGTTTAACCCTGGCCCTGAACCCCTGGCAACTACTGATTTTTTACAGTCAGAATCCTACAGTGTGTAGCCTCTTCAGACTGGCGTCTTTCACTTAGTAATACGCATTTAAGGTTCCTCCATGTCTTTTTGTGGCTTGATAGTTCATTTCTTTTCATTGCTGAATAATATTCCACTGTATGGATATCCCACAATTTATCCATTTACCTCTTGAAGGGCATTTTGGTTGCTCCCAGTTTTCGGAAATTATACATAAAGTTGTGATAAACAGTCATGCACAGGTTTTCCTGTGGACACACATCTTCAAATCATCGTTTCCTCCCACAATACAAACACAGGATGTGCTTCCATGCACCTGCACCTCTGCTCGGGTCCCCTGATCCTGTAATGTCTGGCTGAGGAGCTCTTGCTCAGCCACCCACATCCAATTCCAAGACCTCTCTGGATTAGTTAGTTTCGTTGTTGTTTTGAGTCTGCCTGGAAGCAGGCAGCAATAGCTCCTGGCAGGAATAGCCCCTTCCTCGTGCCATATGAAAGGCATATGACCAAGCCTGGCCACTTGTTAGATCCCTTCTGCCTGACCACAGGAATAGTTTAAAAGGTGGCTATGTAACCCTACCTGAGAAAAAGAGAAATTTTCTCTTTCCTCTGAGGTTGCTAGCTGGGACAAGACCCTGAAGCTGTTCATGGCTTCCTCTAATCACTTTGGAAAGCAACTATACAGAGAGTGAAAGAGCCCTCCCATCTGTGGGGGCATTTCATAAATGTGTGCAAAATGACCCAAAATTCACAGAAAAACAAAGGACCAAGACTAGCCATGGTAACCTGGAAGGGGAGTAATTAAGACAGTGTGGCACTGGAACCAGAGTGAACCATGGGGAGAGAATGGGGCAGGGCCAAGTGGATGCCCATGTGACCTTATACCACACACAAACTTCAATTCCAGAGGCGTTGCAAATCTAAATATAAAAGGTAGAACAATAAAGTTTTAAAGAAAACAAGAGAACATCTTAGTGACCTTGGAGTAAACAAAGATTTCTTAAACAAAGTTCAAGAAGTGCTAACCTAAGAGGAAAAAAAAAAGAGTAAAACTGGACTTATAAAAACTAGCAACTTCTATTTATCAAGAGTAAAAAGGCAACCAACAGAATGGGAGATATTTGAAAATCACATATCTGACAAAGGATCTCAGCCAGAATATATAAAGAACTCAAATATAAATAAGAAAATGCCAGACAACTCAATTTAAAAATGGGAATAGACACTTCACAAAAGAAGATATCCAAAGAGCTAATAAACATATGAAAAGGTGCTCAAATTGATCATCAGAAAAATGCAAATTAAAACCACAATGACACATCCCACATTCATTCTGGAATGTCTAGTAGACATTGAACAGATAGAAAATACCAAATATTGGCAAGGGAAAGAGGCCGGATCACATACTGGTGAGTGTGTAAACATTGGCAAACCACACTGAAACAATACTGGAACACCTCCTGAAGGTGAGCAAATGCACATCTATGACCCACCTTCCCACCTGGGAAAGACGGGCAGGCCTCCTTGTTGTCTCCTCTTGAAGCCCTACAACCTTGGCCAGGAGCCCTTGGCTCCACTCCCTCCCTGACAAGAAAAGGGGTCACAGGAGGACAAGGGAGGGAGAAAGGCTGACATCAAAGCCCTCAAAGCCTCTTTTGGGATCCCTAGTGGCATCTGCCTGGGCTTCTACAGAGAACTGCTGCCCAGACTGAGTAAGGCCCTACAGCATGGTCTAGGGAAAGGCCTCCTGGCCAGGGACAAAATTGGCAATGTGTACACATGCAGGCCCAGGTACGTGGCCCCCACTGTGTGCTCTGAGAGACCTGGTGTCTCCAGGCTCTGAGCTGACCAGCATCATGCTACTGGGCCTGGGATGACACCATCAGGGCCCAGATGCCACTTGTCTCTGTCTCTGTATGAGGGAGGGAGGCTGGCTGGCAACCCAGACAGGTGTGTGTCTTCTCCCCTGGCAGTGACACGCAGCAATTTTCCTTCTCTCCTTTGACAATCAGTTTCCCACTGCCTTCATGACTCTGCCCATGTATTTCTCCAATCTCTTCAGGGAGAACAAAGGAAATGGCATCCTGTTTTCAGATCCTCAAATTCTCCTGGGAAAGAGGCTGAGTGTAGACAGTCAATTAAGTGAAGCAGCCTGAGCATAGATGGCCTCCCGGGAGCTCCCTGGAGCTCAAGATGCTGTGGGCCCCTGTCCCTCCAAATCCCTATAGGACAATGTGGCCTAGACTGGGCTGTGCCCACTGCTGTGGGTGCCTCCTTGGGGGCCAGAGCCTGCCAGCCCTTGGCCAGCCACCACCCTTTAACCCCAGGATGTACCTCCACACAGGGAGGGAGGAGGGGGTGGGAGAAGGAGTGGCAAGACCCCATCTTTCCTAGGACCACCCCCGGACACTAAAACATCCTCCTGATATCACTTCATACAGCAAACTGCTGGCCCTGAAGTCCCCTTGCAAAAGAGGCAAGGGCAGATGAACACTGGCTTAGGCCAGAGACCCAGGGGCACTGGGCACTGCAACAAGAGCACAGGATCACAGAAGTGACCGCAGGGAGCAGCTAGGTTTGCAAACATGGCTCGCTCAGATCCATT